ACAGAAGTACGAAAAATTTTAGACGCCCCTATCCTGCAATCCTGATACTAGACCTCCAGACTTTCCTATCAAGGGCCATGTCCTCGGAAATCCGCATTCTAGCCATGTCCTGCCTAATCACCTCTCCCCAATACCTCTTGGGCCATGTCCTCGGAAATTTTAGGTTCTCTTAGTCTCGGTCTCTTCTACAAAATTCTTTTCAAAAAACAATTTTCAACATTAAGTGAAAGTGAAGTTATTGAAGAAGGCATGAAAGGTAGGGAAATAATCATTTACATGGTGAATCTTAAGCTGATTAAATGGATGAATAAAGACTTTTTTTATGTGACGAGACGCGAGGCAGAGTTAATGCTAAATTGGAAGTTTGGAGATAAACGCTGGAGTCTAAAGGTTTTAAGTTGAGTAGGTCGAAAACTGAGTACTTGGAGTGCAAGTTCAGTGAGGGATGCATGAAGAAGAAGTGGAAGTGAGGATTGGTACTCACGTCGTCCCTAGAAGAGACAGCTTCAAGTATCTTGGGTCTATTATTCAAGGCAACGGGGAGATTGACGAGGATGTTACTCATCGTATTGGAGCGGGGTGGATGAGATGGAGGCTCGCATCGAGGGTTTTGTGCCATAAAAATGTGCCACCTAGACTTAAGGGCAAGTTCTATAGAGTGGTGGTTAGACCAACTGGGTTGTATGGAGCTGAGTGTTGGCCCGTCAAGAAGTCCCATGTCCAAAAGATTAAAGTAGCTGAAATGAGGATGTTGAGATGGATGTGCAGTCATACTAGGAAAGACAGGATTAGGAATGAAGATATTAGGGACAAGGTAGTTGTGGCACCTGTGGAGGACAAGTTGCGGGAATCGAAGCTGACGTGGTTCGGGCATATAAGGAGGAAAGACATGGATGCTCCGGTGAGGAGGTGTGAGAGGTAGTCTATGGCGGGTCTGAAGAAGGGAAGGGGTAGGCCTAAGAAGTATTAGGGAGAGGTAATTAGGCAGGACATGTCATTGCTTCTGCTTACCGAGGACATGACCCACGATAGGAAGGTGTGGAGGTCGAGTATTAGGGTCGTAGCCTGTAGGTTGACATATAGTAGTGTGCTCCTCGTAGGACATTCAATAGAACTAGGAATATTTTTGTAATTTCTTATTTACAGTTCTTTATTACGCATGTTGCGGCATTCGCACTCGTTACTATGTTACATTGTTGCTAACATTCTTTGCTACTTGGTGCTTTATTTCATCGTTTCTTGAGCCGAGGGTCTATCGGAAACAGCCTCTCTATGTCTTTAAGGTAGGGGTAAGGTCTGCGTACACACTACCCTCTCCAGACCCCATTTATGGGATCAAACTGGGTTTATTGTTGTTGTTGTATTCATGAGTGTTGCATGTAGTATTAGGTGTCATTTTTGTTACAAAATTGATGATTTCAAGATTAAACTTTTGTTCGGGCTGTTGGATAAGGGGTGCCTTTTTCTTCTTTGCAAACTATCAACTTGTCTCTGCTAATACATAAGTATAGAGTTTCAAGACAAACAAAATTCGATAGGTTCATCTTAGTACTTTTCCCATTGAGAGTGAGAGTCAAAGGCCTACACAAGCCAATGAAGTTACTCAAACTAGAAAGATGAAATTGACTTCTAGAGCATGGACATATTTTACAATGGTGATGGTCAGTACTGCATTATTCGTATTAAAACAACTATAAAATGTAGGACAAAATTCTTGTTAGATCGTATTGCTTAATGTCCCAAAAACCCAACTTGGAGAGTTAAGATCATTCGAATAATGATAATGGTAGCTAACAAAGTTATCTCGATCAAGATGTTTCGCATAGAGAACTTGCCAATGCCATCATTTTGCATGAGCATTGTTGCTTATGTGGGGTTAAAATTTTTATTGCTAGTCTGCATCCATTGTTCAGAATAGTTGCAAGAAACATAATCAAGAATGACATTTTGAAGATTTTTAACAATCTGAAATAAGAATTTCTAATTTAATGGGAAAAATCACAAGTAGAGTTGCAACAAAATTGATATGTGAACTTCAGTTAACAACAAAAAAGAGTTTATGGCTACTACCAGACATTTTATTGATGATTCATGGAGGTTGGTTTGTATAGTGCATTACATAATTGTTTATTTGAGTGGAATCTGGTACGGAGAATATCAACTATCAAAGTTGATAATTCTAGGACACATAATGCCATGATGAAAACCTTAATGGATGAGAAACTTAGTAAAAAAGATTTATTGTTGATAGGTCGATGTTTCATAAGTGTTGGTGCACATCTAGAATTTGATTATGCTAGAAGAACTAAAGATTATAGGAGATGTATTGGCAAAGTGCATAAAAGTATCTTGTACTTGATTGGACCATCGAGCAGATTTGAGAGGTTTGAAAACGCCGCATGTTTGCTAAACAATTCTTGTGACGGGTTGTTGTATGATTGTCCAACTCGTTGAAACTCAATATATGTAATGTTGAGGACATCCATAGAGTACAAAGAGGTATCTAAGAAGTTGAGTCTAACTGGCACCAATTATCGATGTTATCCAACGAAAAGGCAATGGAGTGATGCAGAAGATGTTTGTAATAAATTATAACTTTTTACCATATCACTGAACAATTTTCAGGAATTGAGTATTCAACTTCATGTCAATATTTTTCGAAAGTTTGTACAATAAAGCTAGAATTGGAAGCTCGAAATAAGAGCTTTAATGCTTTGATTAGTGTTATGGAGTCGGAGATGGTGAAACATAAAAAATATTGTGATGACGTACTATATTTGATGGGTATAACGTTATATTTGATCCAAGGTAGAAGATGAAGTTGGTGGAGCTCTTTCTTCCACAAATTCATAGTGAAGAAGCTTCAACTAAGATCCAAGAAGTTCGAACCCACTGCTGTGATCTCTTTCAAGAGTATAAGAGTAGATTATCTTCCTTATATTGGTCATCGAAGCATATGGTTCTAGTGAAGTAACTAATCTTATTGAGAGTGATGGACGGTCAAACTTTGATAGATCTGTCGCTTTGAGTAGCACTAACGTAAAGAGAAGATCGGAGTTGGATTTATATTTAGAAGAAAGCATGTTGTCTCGAACTATATCATTGGATAATTTAAGTTGGTGGACGACAAACATATTGAAATTTCTTACTTTACAAAAGTTGGCTCTCGTTACCTCTTAGCCATTCTTGTATCTACAGTTGCATATTTAGCACTAGTGGAAGGTTGATTAGTTTGCATCACAGTAGGCTTCATCCTACTACTTCGGAAGCTTTGATGTGAGCTCGCATCTGGTTATGAAACGAAATAAATGGTAAGTAATTTTTCCAATGACTTTTTACCTTAATAATTTTTAGTTTTTAATACTATTTTGATACATTGAATCATATATTTTTCTTTTCAGAAAAACTTCGAGGATCGATAAAGCTTCATGTCCAACATTACTTGATGAGGAGGAAGAACCGATTCACGTGGTCTCACTAATCTGCTACTTTGAAGAGGAAGAGAATACAATATGTTAATATAGTTTGCTGTCACTCAGTTTGTCCTCCACCAACTTAAGCTATAAAATGATAGAGCTCGAGATAGCAGGTTTTCTTCTAAATGTAAATCCAACTCCATTCCTATCTCCACGTTAGCCCTACTTGAAGCGACAAATCTATCAAGACTGGACAGTCGATCACCCTCAATAATGTCAGTGACTTCAGTATAACTATGCTTCAAATGACCCCATTCAAGAAAATAATCTACTCTTATACTATTAAAAGAGATCATAACAGTGGGTTGAACTTATTGAACTTTAGTTAAAGCTTATTTACCATAAATTTATGGAAGAAAAAACTCCACCAACTTTATCTTATATCTTGGGTCAAAGATAACAGCTACACCATCAAAATTCGCACATCATCCCAAGATACCTTAAATCTCAACATGACCGAAGGCATAACGCTAATCAAAGGATTTAAACTCTTTTCCTGAACTTCCAATTATAGCATATTTGCACAAATTTGTGAAAAATATTGACTTGGAAAGTTAGATACGGAATTCCTAAAAATTATTTAGTGATATGGTAAGAAAAGTCTCAACTTATCACAAACATCTATCACTCAATTGTCTTTCCGTTGAATAACATTAATAATTAATTTCAATTAGACTCAATTTCTTAAATACCTCTTTGTACTCTATGGTTGTCCTCAATATTAGATTTATTGAGTTTCAACGAGTAGGCCAATCATACAACAACTTCTTGTTATAATATATGTGTAGCAAATGTGTTATAATATATGTGTAGCAAATGTGTGGCTTCTTCAATCTCTCATTGTGCCCAATGATCTAATCCAATACAAGACGCTTTCACAAATTTTGCTAATATTATTTTCTATCACGTTTGCACTTCTCGCACAATCAAATTCAAGATGTGTGTAACACAACGCTGTGAAACACTGGACATAACAATAATAAATCTCTTTTACTAAGTTTCTCATCAATATTTTCATCATGACATTGTTTATACTAGAATTATCAGTTGTAATCGTTGATATTCTCTCAGATTCGACTGAAGCAAATAATCAAGCAATGCACTACACAAAAAATCAATTATCATGTGCGGTAGGGACATAAATAAACCTTAGAATATGGGTTTGAAGCCTCCGTGAACATCAATAAAAAGTCAAGTAATAGCTATAACTCTTTTTTGTTGTTACATGAAGTCCACGTATCAACTGATATTGCAATTCCACTACTGAATTTTCCAATAACTTAGAATTTTTGTTTTCAGATCGTCAAAAATCTTCAAAATATTAAACCCTCAGGGGTTGGCCTGGTGGCAATTGACTTGAGCCTTGGGGTTTGCTCCCTTTCAAGGTCTCAAGTTCGAAACCCACTAGGTGCAAACAATTTCTGAGGGCCATCGGACTGGGTAAAACCTGAATTAACCGTGGTGCACTTGCGGAAAACTCCTTGCCGAAGGCCTGTGCACCCCTGGGATTAGTCGGGGCTCTAAGAGACTCGGACACCCGGTGCAAATCAAAAAAAAAAAATCTTCAAAATATTATTCTTGGTTGTGTTTTCTGAAACTAATTGAACAATTGATACCGACTAGCAACAAACTTCATAAATCCAACATAATCAACAATAGACAGTGGATACTCATGCAAATTGATGGTGTGGGTAAGTTCTCTACGCGAAACATCTTGATCGAAATAACATTGTTGGTTACCATCATCACCGCCAGAACCACCCTCACTTTCCAAGTTGGCTTTTTGAGACATCAACCAATATTATCTAAGAAGGATTTTCTCATATATTTTCTAATTGTTTTAATATAAAGTATTAGAATACTAACAATCACCAGGAAAACATCATGAATCATCACACTCTAAAATGTGGCCATGTTCTAACAATTTTTTATTTCTAGTTTGAGTAAATTCATTAGTAGTTTCATTTGCTTGCATAGGCCTTTGACTGTCACTAAGTATTATAGGATGAACACACTTGAAACTCCAAAATTATCTATAAGCAAAGACAAGTTTAACGTTTACAAAGAAGGAAAAAGTACTTCTACTGTCCTACAGATAGAACGAAAATACAATCTTAAAATCATCAATTTTGTAACAAAAAACGGGACCTAGTACTACAAGCAACATTCTTAAATGCATCAGATCATTAAAAAATGGTCTCCATTCATCCACTATATTAGATTCTTAAAACTCAACAAGTAAATAACTCTTTCCCCACCTTTCATGCCTTCAATTCTTCAATAACATCACTTTCACAGATTCTTGAAAAATATTTTGTAAAAGAAGAGACCCTGATCAAGAAAACCTAAAATCTACCACGAGAAGCAAATTTGAGTAACAAAGCTAGATTTGAATCAAACAACCAAGAAAGTTTCAGTAAAAACGGATAAAAAAAAAAGGTAGAGAGTTAGAGTATTACCGGAGATGAGAGAGAATGAGACTTTAAAGCTTCTCCTTAAGAGCTTCTTCGTCGAGAGAGTTAGGAAATGCAGTCATGCAGACTTGCAATCGCAGGTGGGAAAACTTTATTTTTAGCCTTTTAGGTTTTAGTTCAAAAGATAGGTCTAATTAGACTTGGATCTCCAACATACACTCGCACCGCACGCGCGTGAACTTTATTTTTTAATATTTTAATTCACTCTGGCCCATCCTGTCAGGTCCCGCTCATGTCCTAACCCGCCCTGCACCGGCCCCCCTCGCCCCATTGCCATCCCTATTACCCATTGCATGGAGGGAACTTCACTTGATCCAGAGGAACATGGAACCAATCTGCTTTTATAATTGACCAGTATTGATTTCAACAGAATAGGATGACTCTTTAAAATAGCTAAAGCAAAGGGTACTCTCCAAAGATTTATGATAACCCATCAGTTCATAAATGAAAATTTAGATTGGCAATAAATAAAAGGAATATGTGGCGGGAATATGCTATGCGGGAAAGATGGGCGGATTGAAATTATTGCGAGTTAAGCCCAACCCGCCCAGACTACTGCCATCCCTAATTCCAATCATAATAGTCCATCTTTTATTTTCTAACTTTTTTTCTTCACATTCGGATCACTTGGTAGTAAGTTCATCACAATACGCAACTTCAAAAGGACGAATCTTGTCACATTACTATGATGATCCAACGGAAGGTGGAATACATTGATAGCAAACTCATCATCATTATTACTCTCAGTTCTGCAAATCAACTGGAAATACAAAAAATTTCATTTTTAATTCCTGATTATCAGTTCTATCTCTGAGCTACTATCACTCCAAATACAAAGGATTTTCAAGATTTATAGCTGATAACCCACTTAACACAGTCCAATAGAAGAACAGCTAAATAATCTTGGGCATGGAAAATTATTTCGTTATTCAGCAAACTGAAAACAGTACTATAAAATAACTTGACCAAATAAACACAACAAAATAAAGAACTCCTCGGATATATACACGCATATAAAGGTATTTGGAAGAGAAGAACCTGATAAGCAAGTTGAAGGTGAATTCTCCTTTATCTTTATGCTTGCTTGCTTCTTTTCATCTTAGCATCGCCGAAAGACATGAAAAAGAAGAAAAAAGAGCGTCAAGTCAACCCGACCCAAATATATGTACCTTTTAGAGTTACTAGTGTTAGGGTGTTTAGTTGGGAAACAAATTATCCCAAAATTAATTATTTCGGGATTAGTTATTCAAAAATAAAAATAATGGAGTACTATATTTTCGAATTAATTAATTCCGAGATCTGTTATATTGCGATTATATCTCAATCAAATATAGAATAAACTCATCTCAAATTTAATTCACAGATTAATTATCTCTTGTCTCCCGTACCAAACGGGCCCCCAGTGTACAAGCATTGGGCATGTTCCTTATAATAGTATACAAGCTTTTAAAAATAACATATATATTATTAAAAGAATGCAAGTTCTAAATTATAATTGTGTTAATCATATTTAGGCGTTTGATCCACTCTAGTGGTTCTTCCTTCAATATGTTTTAGTATTTTCTTCATTATATAAAAGCGTCATACGAGTAGCATTCGATTGAAATATTAAAAGATTATTGTTCAACTTTTAAAGTAATTTTGTATGGTAGTGGAGCCATAATTTTCACTAAAATAAGTCAAAATATAAACAAATAAACTCAAAGCCATGGGGTGTCAATATATAGTGTATATACATAAATAAATAAAACTTACCTAGCTATAGAGTGTAATTTCTTGACGTAGTATCGGTTGACGGCCCTTGAGTACATATAACTCTGCCACTATTCCTATACGTGCGTTGCATGTGTATTAAATTCATATTAATTATTATAATTGAAATTCTTTTTGCCCATATCTTACTTATATTTTATAAAATGCTAAACCTTATTTGAAACTTTCACATTTTGGTTACCAAAAAAAAAATCCTAAATCTAAAAGAGGCATAAAACGTTCGAAACTTAGGAAAGGATTAATTTGTAAAAGAAAATATTAATATTAAAAAAGAAACCTATCAAACCTTTCCTAATGAGAATTGAATGTTTTCTTTAAGCTTTTTTAGTTATGATACATCCCCTTGTTTAATCAATCTTTTCTTTCTTTTTTCCTCATTGTAGTTTTTTTATTTTTTATTTTAGTATCTTTGTAATTTCTTTTGATGAGAAAACTCCACTAAGTCGTAGAATAAAGGATTTTTGTGGACTTTAAATTTCAATTCCTTGTATATTTAGGGCTTGTTTAGAAAGTCACCTTATAATTGCATATAGATGTAATTATACAGTTTAGCATGTTTGTCTGATCAAGTAATTACTGAATCAATATAGAATTTGGTATAATTAAAAAGGACCAATTACACTCCAATTCTTATGGATGTAGGAGGAGGGAGGACTAAGAATTAAAGGTAATTATATGGTGACTTTTTTTAATATTATTTTTTCAATATATTTTACTTTATACTCTTTGTATTCTGATTAATTCTTTTATTTGAAATTTTTTACATTTTTTCCTTTCTTTTTTCTTTCTTGTTCTTTTTCTTTGTTTTTCATGAGTTTTTATATTTTAAATATCTTGTCGTCATCCATTTTATCTTTTTATGAGATAGATAATGTATTGAATTTATGTATTGAATTTGGGTTAATAATTAAGATTTTTTGCAAACAAAGTTGTCTTTTGGTATAAGCTTTATAATAATTTTTTTATATAAATTATCATGTAGGTGGATTGATAAATAAGTATTTATATTTTATTTAATATGATCTTATAAAAATTTTAAACAAGTTGGCAGTGTGGCAACTTTATCCCGTAAGCGAAAGATATTAAGAGCCCGTTGGCTTAGCTGATTTAGAGTAGCTGATAAGCATTAGCTGCTGAAAAGGACTTTTAAGTGCTGAAGCTGATTTAAAAAATAAGCAGTTACGTGTTTGGATAAAAGTGTTGAAATTAATAATATGCAGCTAAAAACCGGGTATACGAAGAGTTTTGTTTTAAAAAGAAGTATTTTAGGGATAGAATAGTAAATATTTTGGTCAAACTTAAACTGCTTATAAGCTGAAATTTGATAAGTTGGGGGAGACCAACTTATGGCTTTCGGCTTAGTTTTGGCTTATAAGCACTTAACTTATAAGCACTTTAATTTTACCAAACGCGTATATAAGCCAAAAAGTGCTTATAAGCTAGTTTGACCAGCTTATAAGCTTAGCCAAACACCCTCTAAACTTGGTTCTTAGCTGAAATTATGCTCCAAAAATTTCTCCAAAGTGTTTGATTATTTTAACTTATTTTAAAAAGTTACAAATCGCATATTACTTTTAAGTTATATATATATATATATGTTTGTGTGTTTCAAATATTAAAATATATTTACATGTTTATATGAAAAAATAATTAATTTTTATTTGAAAATATATATATATATTTAATTGTATAATTACCTTTCTTTTTTTGGTCAAACAAAGATTAATTTCTATTGATTAAGTAGCGGTGGTACAGGGAGCTTGTGTTACATTAGTACAAAATGATTCAAAATCTTGGCCTAAGCCACTAGGTGGGTTGGCGCTACTTGGCCTACAAAATGATGTTTCAGTGGTTGTTATACAAAATGATTGTGTCGCAGCATGGGGCTTGATGCATCTGTTTGTAGTGGTGCCCCGCTGATCATGTGTTAGGGCCCTTTCCAAAAATGGTGGTGGTTGCTCGAGAGTGCTGGTCGAGTTGGACTGCTCCATGGTGCTGCCATATTTTGCGAGCTCATCAGTGACTTGATTTTGCTCCCTATACACATGTCGTACTAATGGGTTACCCAGTCATAGCATCAAGTACCTGCATTCATGCACGAGGGATGAGTAAAGTTGATGATTATTCCGTAGTGCAGAAATTGCCTCTGTTGAGCGAGAATGTAGTGCAATCTTCAATCCCTCCAGTAGAGCCCACAGTTCCATCGTAAGAGGAGTGCCTGATGTTCTGTTGCCAGTGAACCCTAACATGACACTTGAAATTATATTTCAATTATGCTATGGCAAATTATTATGTCAGTATAATTACTTTACCGTGTAATTATCAAATATTACTACCCTAATAATTATACAGCCAGGTATTACACCTTGCTTTTTAAACATACCCTTAACAACAATACTCTAGGGCATATACAAAAAGAAATTAATCTCTTGAGATTTTGGAAAAAAACTCTCTTAATGAATACCACTACCACCACCATCTCACCGCCGGAACCACCAGACATAAGTTCCATGCACCTCGATACACCAACGACAACCAATACAACCGCAGACCCAACCTCCACAACTCCAAAACAACCACTCACCTTTGCCCAGACACTCCTCACTAGTAACCAATTCAGCCATCACTCAACCACATGCCATCAAACACATTCAAACCTTGACTTATCTGACGAATCCACCATACAAGACTTACAATACGACACCTTTATACCAATCACCTCTGCAGATAAATCCAGATTATACACGCCTTGGAAATATTCAGTTATTGTCAAAGTTTTTGGCCGGAAAGTAGGCCACCAAACACTTAGATCAAAACTCACATCACTATGGAAACCTACAGAGGATTTACCTCTTATCGACTTGGGCTGCGATTTCTTTCTTGTAAAATTCCAAAAAGAAGAAAATATGTTCACAGCCCTATACAATGGCCCATGGTTTATACTCAATCACTTCGTCTCTGTCCGTAAATGGGAACTCAAATTCATAGCCTCTAACACTCAACTCACCTATACAGTAATTTGGTTACGACTTTCTGAACTACCTATTGAGTTTTACGACCTGGAAATATTGCAACGAGTTGGAGAAAAAATTGGAACACTACTCAAAGTGGATACCTGCACTTCAGCAACCACACGTGGTCGTTATGCAAGAATTTGCATAGAAGCACCATTAGAAATGCGCCTTAAAACACATGTTTATATTGGATCACACAAGCAGCACCTTGTATACGAAGGTGTCAATATGTTATGCACTACTTGTGGCAAACTTGGTCATACAAAGGCCCTCTGTTTATCCACATTTTCACAAACACCTACAACTTCGACCACCATACACACACCACTACCCCATCAACCTTCGTCATCACAAATATCACCTCATAAAACCTCAACACCATTCAAACCACATCACATTCCCTACTTCCGCAAATGAAAACACACGCTTCTGAATGGAAAACAGTTAGCTTTTCCTCCAAGAATCGATCGAAAGGGAAAACATCAATTTATCAAAGCAGCCAATCACAAGAAACATCATCTGGCGGCACCGGACCCACAGGTAAGCTTTCTAACCCTAATACAATTAATATCTCTAATGGGAAAAACTTAGGCCAAACAAAACAAATTACAGATACTAATACTCCTAAGTTTTTTAATAAAGATAATCTCATAATGCTTAATGATATTGCTAAATTGAATCCACCGGATATTCACTCTGGGCCACAACAAGAGGCCCAAAACACTACACACAGGGCCACACACACAAAGCCCACCATTGGCCAAACCCTAAATTCCCCAGCCCACAAAGCTGACTCATCAGCCACCATCCAACAAAGCACACAACAAACACACGTGGCACGAACCGTCCATCAAGATGCATGCGTGGAACCACACCCTCAGAATATAGGCAATCAAGTACTTGCCTATGTTACGGCAACCCGCCAAGCTCCAACATCTCACAATGGACTAACATCCTCATTCCCTACCCAATTAGATACACAATCCACTAACAAAGCCCAACCCCCTATACAAGTAACCGGCTCCAATACTACACACGAAATTACCTAGAAACCTACCTTATCAAATAAACCGACCACTGCAACCACTAAACAATCAACCACCACTGAACCACAATTATCACCATCCAAAACCAACACATATAATCATAGCCCTCAGTCATACAACACAACCCAACCTAATGAACCATTCACCACTAAACTTCCAACACAGGAGAACACGCTCCTTCACCAACACAACTCTGCTCCAATACCCTATCTTCCTAAACACCATCACCATGCAACCACCTCAGGATCTCTCTCCACAACCAACTCCAATTTACATCACGCAATACCCACCAACTCAAGCATACCCACAGTCTTGG